GGGGGGGGGGGTTTACAACAGGTTAGGAAGTACAAATCACTACAAACTAAATATTAATCAAGGTCCCTTGCCTGTAAATACCAAGCTTTGATCTATGGTTATGGAGTCTTTTCTTGATCCTTTGTTGGAACCCGAAAAAGACTGTCATTAACCACAAAAATGTCAAACAACCGGTCCTGGATTAGTTTAGAGAAGTTCAAACGCCAGATGCTCTGGAATCCAGGCTGATGGGTTGAGGGGCAAACTGTTGCAGCTTTCACTTTTGCGACATCAGCACCCATGCTCGAGGGGACCTCATGGATCTTTTTGTTTCGAGTAAATGACATTAGTGCACTGCGTATGGGTGTCTCATCCAATGAAACACAATTGCTTTATGTTTTCCAATCATTCTCCCTTTTTTCTGAAACAGTATACTCTTGCATCTTGCTTGGTTCAGTAGATAGCACCCGATCATTATGGCCAAGTGTTTCAACACTAAATCAATCAATGAATCAAGAGATTTTGCACACTATTTGTCTTCTCATTCCATGATCGGCTCCTCCTATTTCATCTCTGATAACCTGAGCTTCTTTTGAGGTGACTTGTAGTGGAAACTACTTCAAAATCTCTGGTATTTTTGTCACTCGAAAATGGCATGGACTCTGCGACTTGACAAGGCAAGAAACTAACTTCGGTTCCACTATTAGTAAAAAGAAATGTCATCTTTTTGCCAGGGTGGAGGTCGTTGTACTGGTACAATATCGTTGAGGCTGGGTTTTTTTTTTATGGTTATCTTGTATCAGGATGAAGTTGATGGCAGTCCCCTGTGAAACAATATAATCAAATATTTTGTGGTTGCCATGTTTTTTCTACTATATATGTATAAATGTTTGTTTGTTTGTTTTTTTTTTTTTTATAGTTATTGACCGAGGTTTCTTCCATTGATAATGGGAGCACATTTTCTAAGCATAATACCAAATTGCAACTGTACTTCTGAATGTGAGTACCTGATAAGGCTGGTTTTTCAGGATCACCTTCTTCTTAAGAAAACCAGGGCTTCCACACTAACAGGGTGAGGGGGTGCGTGTGTGTGACAAACATAAACATCTACGACAACAGGGAAGGGGCGGAAGTACATACATATTATAAACAGCAAAGACAACAGGGAAAGGGACGGAAGTACATGCATATTATAAACAGCAACGACAGCAAGGGAGCAAACTTATTAAAGCCCTCTGCTGATCAATACCAAGCTTTTACCTATGGTCATGGAGTCGCGTGTGTATGACAAACATAAACAGCTACGACAACTGGGAAGGGACGGAAGTGCATACATATTTTAAACAGCAACGACAACAGGGAAAGGGACGGAAGTACATGCATATTATAAACAGCAACGACAGCAAGGCAGCAAACTTATTAAAGCCCTCTGCTGATCAATACCAAGCTTTTACCTATGGTCATGGAGTCATTTTTTTATCCTTCTTTGGCACCCAAACGAGAGTATCACTATCTAGAAAGTGACAAACAGCAGGTCCTGGCTTAATTTTGAGAACTTGAAACGCCATATGGTCTGGACTCCAAGCTGATGTGTTCAGGTGGCAAACCGTTACAGCTTTCACTTTCGTGCCATCAGCACCCACTAATGGAACCTCGTCAACCTCTGTGTCTGCGATTACATGGCAATAGTGCACTGCATAAGGATATCTCATCTTGTGACACACTGCTGCTTTATGATCTCCAATCATTCTCACTGCGGCTGAAACCGTATACTCTTGCTTCTTGCCTGCTTCGGTCG